TTATAAGTCTAATGGCTACTCCTCCTTCCACCAATTGGTTTTGGGATGGAACCCCACTTGAGCTTCATATGAGCTTTTTCCTTCTCATGGTGCGCTTCATGTTAGTGGGACCGCACCCATTTTCTCCCAGTTTCTTGCATGGTATCAGAGTCAGTTCTATTGGGCAGAGTCAGTTCTATTGGGACCGTGCGATGACGTATCCGTTTATGGGATTTCTTGCATGGTATCAGAGTCAGTTCTATTGGGCAGAGTCAGTTCTATTGGGACCGTGCGATGACGTATCCGTTTATGGGATCTCTTGCATGGTATCAGAGTCAGTTCTATTGGGACCGTTATATGCTTCCCTACGTACCCGTTTATGGGAGTCTACTTCTAGTAGGCTTGGAGCACCCAATTGGGCTTGAGCTTCTAAAGGACTCACAAGTGAGGGGGCGTGTTAGAATATCATTTGTGAGTTGTCCCACATCATTCATACATGGAAAATAGACTCACCTTATAAGTCTAATGGGAGTCTACTTCTAGTAGGCTTGGAGCACCCAATTGGGCTTGGGCTTCTAAAGGACTCACAAGTGAGGGGGCGTGTTAGAATATCACTTGTGAGTTGTCCCACATCGTTCATACATGGAAAATAGACCCACCTTATAAGTCTAATGGACTACTCCTCCTTCCACCAATTGGTTTTGGGATGGAACCCACTTGGGCTTCATATGGGTTTTCCTTTTCCCCCAGTTTCTTGCAACGTAATGTTGTATTTTTGTTTATATTGGGTTCCACGAACTCGACCAGGTTAAAAAATTATTTTTCAATATATAAATATTGTTAAATAAACTAATTTTTCTTTTTTTTTTTTGTTTTGCTTTGTATACAAAATATGTGGAACAAATACAATTTCCTAATTAATAATATAATTTGCTAACAAAGTATATTTTTTTTTTTTTTAAAAATAATACAAATTATGTTGTATAATTTCTAATCAACATACCTTTGACATTTTCTACACCTGACCAAGTGGGAAATCATGCGAAAAAAAGTACCCTGTTTTTCCAGCTTTAGCAGACTTTTTTTAGTGCACCCAAATTGAAACCATGTAATAATAATAGTACCACTTTTGTACCATAAAACCATATTTATACTATACTATATATGGACTAAATTTTTTCCAACACCTGTGTCAGATCATTTCACTTTCATCTGCTCACTTCAGCTTTTAATTATGTGAAAAAAAAAAAAATTACAATATTAACTAAATAAACTTGAGAAAAATCCATTAATTTGTTAACTATTTTTACTATAAAAAGCATATTAGATCCTCTTTCAAGATGGCAAACAGTCACCTTTTATAGTTCTCAAGAACCCCATTCTTTTTTTTTTTTTTTTTTGGAAGTTGAAGGGCTTTAGAACCTTTTAAAACATCGGGACGACATGACGGACGCAGACTCGAAAGATTGAGGGGGCCAAACGTAACTTAGTGAAAAACAATTGATATTTATTCTTTACATGTTCTTATATATTATATCACTAATATAATTACATAAATTCAAATATCATTAAATTTATTATTTTCAAACCAACTTTTTTTTTCTTTTGCATGGATATTCTTACAACGTCAGCATTCGTGGACTTACATATATAATAAAGATAAATATTTTATTATTTAAAAATCAATGACAAACACAATTTAGTAGTTCATTTTAAACTTATCCTCCCTATATATAATTCCCGAATGCGTTGAGCCTACGTGGCTGCTTCTGGTGCTTCGGAATCCTATTTGGCGAAGAATCATGCTTCGTAATTAGGTTTGGACAAATAATATTGATATATTAATAATTAATAATCTAGGTTCGGGTATTCCATAAATATTATTTAGCTAACTTAGGTATTTTAACATCACTTTTACTAATGTAACCCTTTAATTATTTGTAATTTTACATAGTGAGACACTAAGTGACTAATATATCCCTAAATTTTGATTTGCTTCCTTCAATAAGCTATTGAATTATAAATGTATTTTAAAAGTTGATAACTTTTGTATTTCTTATCGGTTTTACATATATAATATATCAAATTAATCATTTTTTGATGATCTTCGATTTGACATCCATATTGTATATATAAAATAAATAAATTATATTTATATTTATAATAATAAAAAATAATAATACTTATTAAAATTCATTAGAAAAAAAATTATTTTTCAATTGATATATTTATATTTAATGTTGTTATATATTATAATTAAAAAAATTAGTATAATATAACACAAGTAAGTCGCACAAATAAAAATTATCATAATAAATATAATAATATATATTCTTATAAAAGGTATTTAAATTTTCAAACTACTTTTTCCCATTGATTTTAAATTTTAAGAAAAATATTAGCAAGCACCCGTGTAATACACGAGTGTTGTACTAGTAATTATAATTTTAAGAACACCTAAAATTCAATATGTATCAAATCAACGCTGACTTTCGTGGAAAATCGATGTAACTCATTTATATATGTCGCCTACAACATAATACATACAAAATACACACGACTTATATTTTAAGAAAATATCTATGAAATTATTTTACAATATAATTATATATAGATAGTAATTTTTTAAAAAATCGCACAGAGCCCGTTCCATGGACATGAGATTACATAGATTTTTTTTTTCCCATTTTAGACAGTTTATTTATAAGTTAAGGATAACTATGAATAAAAACTTTCCTTATTTGAGTTATATAACACTTGCAGAAAGAATCTAACATAGGGATTATGTTAGAACAAAATTTGTAAAACAGTATTTTTTTTCCAATTTGGGCAAAGATTTTCATAATGGGAATGATAGATACGGTACTTACAGTGCTACTACCGTGCACCTTGGCATACCTAGCAAGGTGTGCCAAGACAGTTTGCGAGGTACTTATGTTGACATTTAAACGGAGTTGAATAATAATTGAAATAAATTAGAAGGTTTCACCATAATAACTTGTGTGCAGGGTGTATTTATTTCAAAGCGACTTACAGATTGGGGCCTGTTATTATTATATAACTGGACATGCTTTTTTTTTTCAAAATGGCAAAAGTTCACATCACCAATGGGCTATTTCAGAATAAATTGAGGCCCAATTGGTAAATGGGCCTTCCTCCCACTTTGAGTTTATATGTAATTATTTGCTGTTCTCACTATTTGCCTCCACCATCTTTTTTATTATGTTAAAAAAAGGGCACAGCCAAATCAATGAAAAAATTATGTCACTTACCTAGAAACTAGTGCGTGACCCGTGCGATACACGAGAAAATAATATTACGATTGTGTTATAAATGAAATATACAAATAAATTAATCAAGATTTACCCATTGTTTTTAAATTAAACCGTGTTGGACACAGTCCAGCCGGATGGACCGTGAACCGTTTATAATCAGTATAGTTCACTTGAATAAAATATTGTCTATTGAATCTGTCAACACCAGTCGGTTGAACTGTTAGGATCAATACGGTTTTCTAAATAAATTTTGCTATGTTTAAAATTATGTTAAATAAAATTATATATTTAAATAAAATAGAGATTTATAAATTATTTATCAATTAATTTAAACATTTGAATTTTTAATTGTTTAGATATTTAAGTAACATGTTTTATTTAAATTTATTACAAAAAGTACTATATATATATATGTATACTAAAACGTTTTTTTAAAGAAAAAAAATTAAATTGTATGATTTTTAAAGAAAATAATAAGAAAAATAATAAAACTACTATTTATGAGTTGCATTAAATGCTGACCTATTTTTTTGCTACTAATTTTAGTAAATAATATGACTCTTTATACAAGTACAAATTCATTTTTATGGGTGTAGTTTTTTT